TTTATCCTCTCTGATACCATGTCCTTGTAGAAACTGTGGTTTGGGCTCCAAAAAAGGGTCCAATACTGAGTGTTTTGCTTACACAGACCCAAACAATGCAAACAAAATCAAAAATAAACCCTCCCCAGGTTTGCTTCATCCAAACCTATTCTCATTCTGTTTTCGAGGGAAGATGAACTTGTCCTGAAGTAGCAAAAGTCATTTTAACTGCTTTGTAGATTATCATCAACTGGGTTGAATTTGCAAACAGCTGTGTACTGTACCAACTGTGTTCCCTTCTTTCTTCTGCTTCTCTCCAAGTTTCTGGTTATGAAGGTGAAGATCAGCCAGCTGAGTTCCAAGCAGTGCTGAATGTCTAAGAAACAAAAAAGCAATCTGAGTACCACTGACACATGAACAGAATCAGGTCTTGACATTCCAGGAGTTACTTGAACAGATTTATCAAGTAAGTAAAAGCAGTTCTACACCTCTAACAAAATAATTTTTCAGTGTATCCCAGTTATAAACACTTCGTCTTCCTATCAAGACTGCATATTAACACAAAACATACTTACTTGGCTGTTTCTGACACTGCTACTGAAAGTGAGCAGCAAGCATAAATTTACTAATAATGAGAAACTATCAGTTCTAATTTCTGTGTGATATCACTTCTGTAAGGACTACCAGTAAGATATGTGTAAGAAAGCATGCACAACATGTTATGCCTTTTTTGTTTTTTTAACTCTGGTAAACTGTATTTGGCAAATAGAACCAAATAAGGCTGATCCTTTTCTTCCTACTGCTGCTTCCAGCTGCTTTTCTCTAATATGCCTAGATGATGAGAGTCACAGGGACCTAGTTTATTATCTAATAAAGCCTCATTCTCTACACAGTTCAGAAGAGCACTGTAGTAATTACAAACAGATTTTACAACCAGTCACCTCCCATGCTAACAAAATTATGTTCCTTTTTACTGCCTTTGACCTTTCTCAACTATCCTTGTTCTCAAGGCACTGTCATTCAAAGCCAAATTTTTCTTCAATTTGTTCCAGTTAGCACAGGAAATCTGCATGCCAAAAGTACCATTTTTAAGCCCAAAACAGCAACATCTCTGCCCTTTCCCTTGGGACTCATTGAGGGCTCCTCATGAGTTAGAAACTCTGCCAACAAGCAGGATGAGGGACAAGACTTTAAACTGGCTGCAGAAGTTCTAAGGGAGAGAGATGAGAAATCTGCTTCCTAATGAAAGCAGACAGATGAATTCATCATATTAAATGCTCGTCACAGAGAAGGGTCAAAAGTTTGAAACTATCAAAATGAAGGTAAGAGCTGAAAATACTGAAATCAAGATTTATTGATCTGGGGAAGTGCCTCTGCAGAATCACGCCAAGCAAGAAAGTACTGGTTCTTATATAGAGGGCAAGTACACAAAACATGGGATCAGGCTGGTCATTTTCCTTTCTGTGAAAAGAAACCTTGCTGTAAAAATCACTAATTACCTAAGCTAAAAAAGCCCCAAACTAACCAAAACCCAGGCTCACTTTGGGATGTATGATCAATTTGCTAGGTGAGGCATTATGAAGTATTTGATACAGCTCTACACTGGGTGATTTCCCATATTTGGCTTGGCTTGCTTTAGAAAGAAATGAAACAAGGTTCCCCTTGTGAAAACAAGTGACTGAACTATCATAACAGCCAAAATTTCTTGTTAAAGGAGGCAAAGATAACACTGTTTTACCTGTTTAAGCCTCCCATTTCCAAATGTTCCATCACAAATGCAGTACTGCCCCCGGGCAGGTCTATAACTTTGATGGGTTTAGGCACTTTTATCGTCTGTGTTTTCAGGATGGCTTCCAGGCTTGCCATTTCTCCCTCAAACATTCTTCTGGCCTGCCAGATATTAAGG